CACTTCCATTCTGATAACACATTAGCATCCCGCTTGCCAAAGGCTTAGAGAACTGCTGTTCACTGATCAACAACATTTCACTTAACATATGATAGTTAATACAATTCAGGGTCGAAGTGATCCATGTGAACTGGAGTTTAAAACTGCCAGGCATTTTCCCTCCTGAGACAAAACAGGATATTTCTGAAAGTTCTCCTCTAATTTTCCAGGCACTAAATGAGTGCCCAGCAGTTCAGCTCTAGCACCATTTACGGAAGTGAGCCTTGTATCCCACAAACATCTTGGGTCTCAGTCCCATGAGAAAGCCTTCACCTGTACTTCTTTTTTTATTTTTTAAGATTTATTTATTTTTATTGCAAAGTCAGATATACAAAGAGCAGAGACAGAGAGGAAGATCTTCCGTCCGATGATTCACTCCCCAAGTGACTGCAACAGCCAGTGCTGAGCTGATTCGAACCCAGGAGCCAGGAACTCCCTCCAGGTCCCCAACATGGGTGCAGGGTCCCAAGGCTTTGGGCCATCCTCGACTGCTTTCCCAGGCCACAGGCAGGAAACTGGATGAGAAGTGGGGCTGCCGGGATTAGAACCAGTGCCCATACGGGATCCCGGCACATTCAAGGTGAGGACTTTAGCTGCTAGGCCACGGTGCCAGGTTTACCTGCACTTCTTAAAAACTGGCTGTACACCTTGTTCCCTTGTTACCCTCTTCAGGTTTGATGAATTGCTGAACAAACCATAGGACCCAAGAAAACACTTTGCTGTCTGCCAGTTCATCATAGCAGAAGCTGCTCAGGAACAGTCAGGGAAGGAAGAGGGGACAGAGAGCTGCTGTTCATCTCTGGTCAATCCTTCTCCCAGCATCTAAGTGTGTTCACCAGCACACTCACCCCCCACTGTGTGGGGATTTTGTGGAGACTTCAATTTTAAATCAGTTGCTCCTTGACTCAGTCTCCAGCATGTCTCTCCTCCCTGCAATCAGGCCCATAACTGAGTTTCAAACCTCTAATCCCATGGTTGGGTCTCTGACTCCAACTTATGCCTTGGGATCTCTAATCGGCTCAGAAAATGTGAATGTTTTTCAGGCAACTCAAGTTCTAGGGTAATCAATTGTCCCAGCTTGTGAGACTATAGTTTAAAAGATTTATTTATTTTGGGTCGTTGTGAAGACTCAACTCCTCACATTGTAACCACTGGGTTCCCATATGGACATCAGTTTGTGTCCAGACTGTTCCACTTCCCATTCCAGCTTCCTGCTTGTGGCCTGGGAAAGCAGTCGAGGACGGCCCAAAGCCTTGGGACCCTGCACCCATGTGGGAGACCTGGAGGGAGTTCCTGGCTCCACAAATCAGGAGCAAGGCAAGCATGCCTCTCAATATTGCACTGAGCATTCTCCCAAGGCAAATAACCGAGAAAAATAAGCTATTATTCAGCTGGAAAGGAAGGAGCAAAATTATCTCTGTTCACAGATGATATGATCTTATATATAGAAAACCCTTATCAACTAAAGAATATAAGAATAAACAAGTTTGGGCCCAGCACAGTGGCCTAGCAGCTAAAGTCCTCACCTTGAGTGCGCTGGGATCCCATATGGGCACCGGTTCTAATACCAGCAGCTCTACTTCCCATCCAGCTCCCTGCCTGTGGCCTGGGAAAGCAGTTGAGGACAGCGCAAAGCCTTGGAACCTTGCACCTGCGTGTGGAAGACCTGGAAGAAGTTCCTGGCTCCTAGCTTCGGACTGGCTTAGCTCTGGCCATTGCAGTCACTTGGGGAGTGAATCATTGGACGGAAGATCTTCCTCTCTGTCTCTCCTCCCCTCTCTATATTTGCCTTTTCAATATAAATAAACTGAATCTTTGAAAAAAAAAAAAAAGAATAGGGCCCAGCGCTGTGGCCTAGTGGCTAAAGTCCTTGCCTTGCACATGCTGGGATCCCATATGGGCACCAGTTCTAATTCTGGCAGCTCCACTTCTCATCCAGCTCCCTGCTTGTAGCCTGGAAAAGCAGTCGAGGATGGCCCAAAGCCTTGGAACCCTGCACCTGCATGGGAGACCTGGAAGAGGTTCCTGGTTCCCGGCTTCGGATTGGCTCAGCACTGGCCGTTGCGGTCACTTGGGGAGTGAATCATCAGATGGAAGATCTTCTCTCTCTCTCTTCCTCTCTGTATATCTGACTTTGTAATTAAAAAAAAAAATCTTTTAAAAAAAAGGATAAACGAGTTCAGCAAATTTGCAAACTAGAAGATCAATATATAAAGATTAAGTACACTGGCAATAAACAATCCAAAAATGAAATTAAGAAAATAATTCAACTCATAACAGCATGAAAAAGCAAATATGTATAAGGAAATTCAACAAAGGAAGTCCAAGATTTATACACTTAAAACAATAAAGCATTGTTTAAAAGATTAAATATTTAAATAAATGGAAAACAATCTCATATTCACAAATTAGAAAACTTAATATCAGTCTGATAAGAATACTTTCCCAATACAGGTACAGATTGAGCATAAGCCCTATCATAATCCTAGCTAATTTTCCTGTAGAAATTAACTTGTTGTTCTTAAAATTCACCTGGAAATGTAAGGACTCCAGAAGAGTTAATATAAAACAACAATGTGTTGTACCTAAGTGAGTCATCACAGAAGAGCACAACCCACTAAGACTGGGAAGTCCTTTATTGCCAGCAGTGGAGAGGCAGCTCCTGGCTCAAAGACCTCTTGACCCTGAACTCAGAGTAGTGGGGTTTATAAAAGCAAAAACCACAAAGCGGGAAGGGTTTGGGGGACTGAGTTAATGCGGAACCACCTTAAGGATCAAACAATGAGTAACTTTTGAAGTCTTGGTTGCTGCACCAGGTGAAACTCATTTTCTTCCCAGTCATGCCTGAACAGCCTAGCCAGGGATTCAAGCATTCTTGCCAAGTAGGATGTAGTTTTCTCAGCCAGGTTACAGTCTTATGGGCTAAGAGGCACCGCACAGAAGATGGAGCCCAGCTCAACACAGAGGCCCTCAGATCAGGCCTGTTATTTCAGAATCCATTGAGACATTGAGGAACTGAGGACAGATTAAAAAAAAAAAATCAGTGAAAAGGGAAAAAACATTGTAGCATAGAGGTTAAGCTGCTGTTTGCAACACCAGCATCCTGTACTACTGTATCAGAATGCTGGCCCCAGCTAACATCTGAGGCCCAAGTTGGGCTTCGGATCTACAGCACTGTCAGATAAAATGTTTGTGGATTTTTTAAAAAGATTTCTTTCTTTTTATATGAAAGGCATATTTACAAAGAAAGGATAGAAGCATCCTTCACCCACTGGTTCGCTCCCCAAATAACCACAAAGGCCAGAGCTGAGTCGATCCAAAGCCAGAAGCCAGGATCTTCTTCTGGGTCTCCCATGCAGGTGCAGGGGCCTAAGGACTTGAGCCATCCTCCACTGCTTTCCCAGGTCATTGGCTGCAGTGGCCCTGGGAAGCAGGGGTGATGGATCAAGTTCCTGGTTCCTGCCACCCACACAGCAGTGCTGAATTGAGTTTCTGACTTCTCCAGGCTTTGACCAGGCCCCATCCAACTATTATAAGCATTTGGGGAGTGAACAGGCAGATGGATGCTTTGTTCCTGTGCTTAAAATAAAGAAAATTTAAAACAAAAATATTACATAGGTAGATTGCACGATTCATGAATTCTATCTCAAGATGCTGAGAAAATAGTTGTGAATACACATAACAAGTTCACCTCAAAGGAGAAAATATACAGAACATGAGCAGTGCTCAGAAGACCAGGCAATCAGGCACTGTAGGATTAAGATGGATGAAGTGGTGGGAGCTGTCAAGTACATGGGCAGAGGGCACAAGCAGGGCTCGAGCCTGCAGGCAACATGGAGCTGGGATAAGCTTGCAGCCTCCCAGACTATCGAGAGCCAGCCTTTGGATGGGCTCTGGAATCAAGTCTTGGAACCCTGAGAGTGGCCGAGAATCTATGATGTCAGCATCTGACCTTTGTGACACAGGCTCCTGGTGCTGAGAACTGCCTCTAGGGAACTGGACCCCAGCTTCCACTGGGGGGCGGCAATGCCGCCCCTTAGACCAAGTCTCCCAGAGGCTTTTTCCAGCTGGCCCTGTTGCTGCTGCTGCTGCTGTTGAGCCAGTGTCAGACCAAGCCAGGGGACATCAGCATTAGGGAGGACACAAGGTTAGGGGAATCAGAACAGCAGGACCGCTGGATGCTGAATCTTTAAGTCAAGATCAGGAGCACAAAAGCCTGTGCACCACAGAAGAGCTCCGCCTGGCTTAAAGAGGATCGAGGACAAGCTGAGACAAACCCAAGTGGCGGTAAGTCTAGGGTGACCAACGATGCTGGGGCAAGGAGTGGCATCGCCCCAGTAGGCTGACCGTGCTGTTGTTTCACTCAGGTGCCTTCAGCACTGAAGTGGTATACAACACACAGTGCAGGGAGTCCTCAGAGGTAAGCATTCACAGTCCCAGAACACCCCAGATGAGCCCCCAACTCCATGCCTTCATCCTGCCCTTCCTGCTTCTCCCCTCCCCACCCCTCCCCTTCCCTGGAGCATTTTGCCAGCTGTTCTGATGGGAAGCGGGCATGGATTTATGGTCTCAGTGAGATCCGCCTGGCACTGGGCACACGAGGCAGAGCTACACGAGGCTGAATCATCTCCACCAGCATCCCAAATCACTGTCTGTGTCTTTCTCTTCAGGTCCCACTGGCTGTAACCCCCTCCGACGACTGCCCCTTGGCTCCCAAGAGATAGATTTGCTTCTCCATCCCCACACATACCTCGTCAATGGCTGACTACAAAAAAGGGAGAGGCCGTTCTCAGCCCGAAGCTGCCGCCTGAGCCCCCAGAGGGCTGCGCGCCTGTCTGGCCCACCAGCGATCCCAAGCTGGGGCCACACTCAGTGCACAGGGGGTGCCTGGAGTTCTCTGTCACAGCTGCCCTTGGGAAAGCCTCACCCTTACGTCCCTGGTCCCTGGTGCAGTCAAGGCGATGCTGCCTCCAAGGAAGGAGCAGGTGCTGCTACAGAACGCCATCGTGCCTCCCAGGCACCACCCCCAGGACCTCTCACAGCTTGTGGACTCCCCTAACTGCAGCCTCCAGCCTGTCTCCCCCATCCAGTCACAGGCCCACCCCAAACCACCTGCCACTTTCTCTCCTCCTGCACGAGCCCATCCCCCTGCCCCCCAATTCTCTTCTTCTGACTCCAATTCAGATCTAGCTCCACCTCCCTCCTCCCCCTCCCTCCCCAGCTCCCCCACTTTCTTTCACCAGAATTCTCTCTCAGTCTCCCTCCAACGCTCCTCCTCTCCCTCCAGCCTCTTGCTCTACCCCTCTCCTCCCCTTACCCCCTCCTCTGCATTCTGTCAGCCCCAGAACTCCTCTCCCTGCTCACGTTCACGTGGCCAGACTCCCTCAAGGCCTGAAGACCAGCTGAGCTCCACGCTCCCTTCCCCAAGCCCCAGCCTTCCTTCTCCTGCTGCCAACTGTAACAGGAAAACATGGCACTGGCATCCTCAGCACAGGGACAACAGGTCTCCTGGGGAGGCAGGGGGATGCGTGGCAAGCGAGAGGGACCCTGCAGAGTTCAGGGACCCAGGGGCGCTTGCCCAGGCCCTGGTGGTCCACCTGGGGCACCGCCGCATCGCACACGACCTGCGGCTACTGCTTTTGCAGCGCCTGTGGCTAGGCAGAACTGGCAGGGCCCCAGTTGTGGAGTACCCCATATGCCTGGTGTGCCTCCGGCCCCGCAGCCCCTCATGCCCCGTCCCCAGATACAAGTCTGGCCCCCGGCTACTGGCCTTCCCCCAACTCCTGCCCTGTGGGCCAGGCCAGGAATCCGGGACACTTCGCATAGGCATTGGCTTCGGCCTCCGCCTGCCTCGGGGCCAGGCCAGGGCCTTACATCTGTTGCCAGAAAGAAGGTCGGGGCAAACAAGGGGCCAGGGCGAGGCCGGCCAGACCCATCAGCAACAAGCACGTGCATTTCCAGCCCGGGCAGACCCGGCCCCGGGCACACCGTCGTCCCAGGCCAGGAGCCACAAGTCTGCAAGCCTTCACTCACCAAACTCCACTCAATGTTCAGGGCCTCCCCTGCAGGCGCCAAAGCAGGCCGCTACCTCCCCAAAGGCCAGGCACCCTCCTATTCCAAGGAGGCCTGTTTCTTCAGAGTCCAGGCTCCCCAAGTCGCCAGTCTAGCTCTGGAGCCACGGAGGCTCCTGGGAGCAGCTCCTCCAAATCCCACCCTCCCCACCAGGCCCCAGATCTCACACCGTCCAAGAGATACCCTGAAGGGCTGGCTGGCCGGAAGTCAGGTGTGTGGTCCTGTCCTGAATCCTGGAAGCCCCCTGTGGAGTTTGCTGTCTCCTGGCTGAAGTGACCCCACTCAGCCTTCAGTGCATTCAATAAAAACCTGCCCCCGTGGAACACTTGTTTCTTCATAGGAGTGGGTGTGGGGGGAGCGCACACGAGCATGTGTGTGTGTGTGTGTGTGTGTGTGTGTGTGTGTGTGTGTGTGTATGTGTATGGCTGCTATTGTTGGGGGAGGGGATGCCAGTCTCAACAAAGCCTTCTGGGACCCCAAGATCAAAAAATAAAAAATGGGCCAAGCAGGTACCACATATCAGAGGAAGACAAGGAACCCACAAACTCCACTTACACACTGCATTCAACACTGTGGTGGCCCTTCCATGAAGCCACTGAATTGTCCTCCCCCCGACCCGGGACTTCCTCTGGCATGCCATAAGCTCATTTCCGGGGAAGCAGGGAGGTCCCCACATAAGCCCAGACGGCTGCAGGCCCCCACGGGAGGGGGAGCAGGAGGGGTCAGCGATGGAAAACACCTGCCAGGAGAGCCATGACAAAAGAAGGGCCCAGGGCCTGCTCTTCTGGGAGTGGCGGTGACTGTCACCTCCGCCCAGTCAAGGCTAACAGTGGCTTCCTCATTCCAGCAAGCAGTGGGCTTGGGGAGTGAATCCAGGACTGTGCTGAAGAAAGGTTCGGTGGTCTCTGGCATGCGCACTTCCACACATCACCTCCTCACTCAGGCAAATGGAAAGTGTGGGCTTGCGGGAGTTGGCCTGCCGCTCTTGAAGTGACAGTGGCCCTCACTTCGGGAAACTGCGGACCCGCGATGTCCTCCCTAAACCCCAACTCCTCCACCCGCCCCTCTTGCCAGGCACAAAAATGGCGGAGGCGCTGGCAGAACAGCCGCGGCGAAGCAGAGCCGTGCGCCGCGTTAGTGCTGACGCGTAGCGCCGGGCTGCGCTTGCGCGGAGAGCGCTACAGGACAGGTGCGCGTGCGCAGTGCGCGTCTGCGGAACCGAGTTTGCCGGAGCCGAACGGAGATACCGGTACCTAAGGGCGGGGTAGGAGCTGGTAACCCCGAGAGCGTGAGAGCGGAGTCTAGGCTGTCCGGGCGGTGGTGACTTCAACAGCGACCAGGACAGTGGCCCAAGGCCCGACGCGGCATGCCCTGAGTGCCGCACTGCCGGCGGGATGGGCCGGCGCCGGGCCCCAGAACTGTACCGGGCCCCGTTCCCGCTTTATGCGCTTCAGGTGGACGCCAGCACCGGGCTGCTCATCGCTGCCGGCGGAGGAGGTGCTGCCAAGACAGGCATTAAGAATGGCGTGGTGAGAGCGCAGGACCCCTGGGGCTAGGGAAACTGCGGGATGTCCGGGGGTCACGGGGGAGTCGGGGCGGGAGCCGCCGCGTAATGAACGCCCAGACGCTGCATCCATCCGCTAAACGTTCTTGGAGGGCGGTTAGAAGACTGCTCTGGCAGAGTGAAAGCTGCCCCCAGCACTGCGCGACGCAGGAGGAGCTTTGGTTGGGTCCAGATGGGAACTACTCGACGGGCTGACCCTGGCCTTGTCTGGCAATCCAGATAGCCCACGTGTCGTTCTTTTAGCAGTAGTGCAAGCGCGGCTTTGGACCTTTTGTGCTAGGTTCCTGCACTCCTGTGAGAGTGCGTGGGTCTGTTGTATTAGCCGGAGGGTCTTTGCGAGCATTCAATGAAGGGGAGAAAGGGGCCTTGAGGCCGAGCGCTTCGAACCAGGAAGTGCGGTAGGCAGGAGGAGAAGTCCTTACGCTGTGGGTTATATGCTGTTCACCAACCTGGATGCCCTCGTGCACACCCCTGAACCTTGTTCCTCCCTCCTCCGTGGGGTTGCTTCCCCCCACAGCACTTTCTGCAGCTGGAACGGATTAACGGGCAGCTGAGTGCCTCTCTGCTGCACTCCCATGACACAGAGACAAGAGCCACCATGAACTTGGCCCTGGCAGGTAACATCCTGGCAGCAGGGCAGGATGCCCGCTGCCAGCTCCTGCGCTTCCAGGTCCATCAGCAGAAGAGCAACAACAAGGCGGAGAAGGCAGGTGAGGCATCCGCCTTCCCTGTGCAAAAAAGTCCTGAAAATTAGTAAGATCCCTGTCCTCAAGGGGCTGGGAAGAAGTGGGGCTTGGATTGCCTGCCGGAAGCTGTGGGTATCCCTGACCTGGAAACAGGGGCCAACACGACTTGCAATAGGAGCTTGGAACCTGGTAAACTGTTTTGCAGGTTCCAAGGAGCAGGGCACTCGACAAAGGAAGGGAGCTTCCCCGACAGAGAAGAAACCGAAAAGTGAAACCCAGCGTGAGGGGGTGGAACTCCGGGTAGAGAATTTGCAGGCGGTCCAGACAGACTTCAGCCCTGATCCACTGCAAAAAGTCGTGTGCTTCAACCATGATAATACGCTGCTTGCCACTGGAGGGACGGATGGCTATGTTCGGATCTGGAAGGTGTGGGTGTGGGGGGTGGTGGTGAGGGAGGATGCGGGTCACTCATAGCCAAGTGAAAAGCACCATCAAGGGCTACTTGTGGCGTCCTGGGAGCTTAGAAGGGAAGTGGGCCGAGCAGCCATGAGGAGACATGCAGGGGGGGCAGGGTGCTTAGGCTGGGAACCTGAGCTAACCCTGCTGGTGGCTGCAGGTCCCCAGCTTGGAGAAAGCAGAGGAGTTCAAAGCCCATGAGGGAGAGATCGAAGACCTGACTCTGGGGCCGGATGGCAAGGTGAGAAAGAGTGTATGTGGGGCCTGTAGGGTAGAAGGGAGAAAGGTGGTGGTAAGGCTGAAGCTGCTTAAGTAGATGCTCTAACCACCCGTGCTGGCCCCTTCGTTCCTGACCAGCTGGTGACTGTGGGCTGGGACTTCAAGGGCTGTGTGTGGCAGAAAAATAAGCTGGTGGCCCAGCTGCACTGGCAAGAGAATGGACCCACCTTGGCTACCACACCTTACCGCTATCAGGCCTGCAGGTATGTGCACTCCCAGGGGAAGGCTGCAAGGGGCACAGCCCACCTGCACTGGCAGGGGATGGGAGAATGCAAGTGGGGAGGAACGTGGCCTGGCCTGGCAGGGGGGATGGTTGGGCAGGGCCCAAGGAGCTGAATAGCCCCTCACTCGGCCCCCAGGTTTGGGCGGGTCCCAGACCAGCCTGCTGGGCTGCGGCTCTTCACCGTGCAGATTCCCCACAAGCGCCTGCGCCAGCCTCCGCCCTGCTACCTCACAGCCTGGGATGGCTCCACCTTCCTGCCCCTTCGCACCAGGTCCTGTGGCCAGGAAGTCGTCTCCTGCCTCAGTGTCAGGTGTGAGACAGCAGGACCGGGCCAGGTTGGGGGTGTGAGAGGGAGCTGGGGAGACAAGTCCTGCCTGGGTGAGGGCTGGTGTGGGTGATGAGGGTGGCATGGTCTTCCCCAGCCTCCAGGATAGTGAGCACTTTCTTCTGTGTTGCAGTGAATCGGGCACCTTCCTGGGCCTGGGCACGGTCACTGGCTCTGTGGCCATCTACATAGCTTTCTCCCTCCAGGTAATGGGTAGAGGAGGGCCTAGGCCTATGGGAGGACTGAGGCCTCCCTGTTCCCTGAGTATGCAAGGAGAGGCAGGCCCAGCCTGTGGAGGGAACTCTAGGGGTGGGGAACAGGGTGGGTAGGGAACTTGTTTTCCAGCAGGAAGCCTTTCAAGGGGTCTTCCCTTACCACCTTGTCTTCCCACCCACAGCGCCTCTACTACGTGAGGGAGGCTCATGGCATTGTGGTGACAGATGTGGCCTTTCTGCCTGAGAAGGGTCGTGGTCCAGAGCTCCTAGGGTCTCATGAAACTGCGCTGTTCTCTGTGGCTGTGGACAGTCGTTGCCAGCTGCACCTGCTGCCCTCACGGCGTGAGTCACTGGGGCAGGGGCCACAGATGCTATGGCTGTAGCTCTGTATGCTCTGCTTGGGTAGGGTGGGGAGGCTTCTTCAGGCCCCCCAGGCCCCTTTGCCCCTGACCTCTCCCCTTGCTGCCCACAGGGAGCGTTCCTGTGTGGCTGCTGCTCCTGCTGTGTGTCGGACTCATCATTGTGACCATCCTGCTGCTCCAGAGTGCCTTTCCGGGTTTTCTTTAGCCTCCCTGCCCCCGAGGGATCAGGGGTCTGGACACTGGCACCTTCCTGAGCTGAGTGGGTGGTCTGGGCGCCCGCTGCTTGCCCCATTGGGTCGACAGCTGAGGTGCCTCTAATGAGACTGGAGCATTGCCTACCTGTCCCAGTAGGCTTGGCTGTGACGCTGTGCCACTCTAGATCCTGGAAGCAGTGCCTTGGCCACCTATGGCTCCACCCCAGGATGGTGATGTTTGAGGCTTAGGCCACACTGTGGGCCTCCTGGCCCTCGTCAGCGTGCCAGAAGCTCCAGAGTTGAGCTTGTCTTTGCTCCAGGAACACGTGAAGATGCCCAAGACCCGGAGTCGCTGCCGTCCTTCCCACCACAACTGTTTCTCCACCTCTGCTGTTGGTCTTGGGGCCAGATGTTCTCATAGAGCTCCCTGGCTTTTGCTGGGGCAGGGACTAGCCTGGTACTTATTGTTGGAGCACGAAGGAGTAAAAGCAAAGTCTAGGTAATGCTCTGTGGTTCAGGTGGGCAGCGCCAGCCAGCCAGGCTAGATGTGCCAACAAGTTCCTGCATGGTCTACCCTAGGCTTGAAGGAAGGGAAAATGAACCTGGATCGCTGAGCCGGAAAGTTGGTGTTTAATTAAAAGGGAAGGCTGAACCAGCCCCAAATGGAACCCTGTGTCAACTCCCTGTGCCCTCAGAAGGTGTGAGCACCCCGAGGTCCAGCAGCTCAGATGGGTGCTGGAAGACAGCCCTGGCGTACTGGTGCAGCAAGCGCCTCATGTAGCAGTGCCTCCAGGGCAGCAGCCCTTCCAGGAAGCCGATGTGACCGCCCCGGGCCGTGACAAGCAGTGCAAGGTGCGGGGAGAGCCGGGCTGCCTGCATGGGGAGAGCTGGGGGCCACAGAAGGAGGTCGGCTGGCCTTTCACAGGAGTCCACGCATTCCTGATATGCATCTCTTGACCCACTGTCCCCAGGTAGATCTGATTCTAGGGTCTTACCCTGGACCGGGGAGAAGGGGTCGTCAGCTGCGTTGAGGCAGAGCACAGGGGTCTGGATGGCATCTACCTTGTTTCTTGGACTTGCTGCTTGGTAGTAGGCAACACAGTCTTCGTAGCCGAAGGCCACGGATGTGTAGCGTTCATCAAACTGGCGGATTGTGCGGGCCTGCAGTAGCGGAGGGGAAACAGGCTAGGCTAGCAGGAGACTAGGAAGACAGCGGGAGACTAGTTTTGCAGGCATGGGACAAGGTATGTGTTTGAAAGCTTATACCTTTAGCACAAAATCTACATCCACTTCCTTCTCCATCACGCTTCTATTTCTGGAAAGGAGTACATAATCATTGGCTCAAGCTCTGACTGACCCAAGGCTCTCCAGCTTCTGTCTCATCTCATGTGTGACCATGAGATCACATGTGACCCAAGGGCTGGGATACTGCCATGACTACATTCCTAATCCTTACGGCTGCCCTAGCCCCTTGCCAAACTGCTACCTTTCCACAGATTGGCAGAGCCCAGCAGTGAGCGGCTGATTGAAGAGCAGTAAATTGAGTGGCATCTCCAGGGAGCGAGTGGTCTCAAAGGAATCCCAGCATGCAGACAGAGTCAGTCCTGCCACCAAGCCAGCATCCAGTCCAGTCCGTGCCAGGTAGTTCAACACCAGTACCCTACAGGATTAGACCCGAGGCCACCAAGGGCGGGAATGCAAGAGGAAGCTGGGACAGGAGGAGAGAAACAAAGGAAGACAAGGCCTCTGGGTGGACCCAGGCAACCTTTACCCTCCGAAAGAGATGCCCACAGCCAGCAGTGGGGCCTGGGGGTGGTAGTGCTTGATGTGCTTCACAACTGTCTCCAGGTCCTCAGTGTTGCTGGCACAGTAAGACCTGGGGGTCTGAGAGCAAGTAGATTAGAGGGCAGTGAGGCAGGGGCACCCAGAGCCGAGATCTCTAAAGGGAGTTGGAGGTGGGCACTCACCAGTAGTTCTTCCCCACGGCAGCCCCTGTTATTGAAGACAACGGCCCTGAAGCACACAAGGGCGTGGCTTGGTCAGGCCTGGCTTGAGATCCAGGGCCCAACAGCCCTGCCAAAGGCTAGAGCACTCTCCCCGCCAGGGTCAGGATGAATGCCCTGGGACCAGACACCACCCGTTGCCTCTGGGCTGTGCCTCCCCCATACCTATAGCCATCTGCCAAAGCCTGGCTGACCAGGTGCAGGATGTAGTTCTCCTGGCTGCTGCCAGTGATGCCAGGAAGCAACAGCACGATGGGCCGTGTGCTGGGCTTGGGGTGCTGGTTGCTGTCGGGCTCAGCCCAGTCCAGCAGTAGCTGGCCACCGTCTGGAGTTGGAAGGACTTCACTGGAGTTTGGGATGGCGAGGAGCGGGACACAGAAACACTGTCAGGGCTTCCATGAGCTACTACAAAGGTTCCTCCCTACTCTACCCACTTAGGACTGTCACGACCTCACAGTAAGGTTGGCCAGGGTGGGCTGGAGACAGAGAGGATGGAATATTTTCCAGGGTGGGCGAGGACATGCCCCTTCACATGTCCACTCCTGTGGTGCCATCAGCATGCTGAGTGGGGAGGGATGAGATGGAAGAGGAGTGGGCATCTGGCCTAGGGCTGACAGCATGGATTAGGTGGGCCCCTGCCCCATCCTGTGTCAGGATCTGTGGATTTGATTCCTGCTCCAGTTCCTGGTTCCAGATGGCAGGTAAGCCAGACCTTGGGAGACAACCATGAAGACCAAGGTAGTTCAGTCTCTGCCATTGGCATGGAAGACCTAGACTGAGTGGAGCAGCAGGTGGCAGTTCTGGTACTGTCTCTCACATAAACAGGCTTTCCCAGCCGTGTGTGGGCCCCAAGTCCTAGCTGCACCCTGCTTTGTTCTGTGCTTACCTCCAGTAAGGGACCGGGGGCCAAGTCTGCAGGAAGATCCGCAGGATGGATTGCAGCCGTCCCTCAAAGCACCAGAGGGTGGGGAAGAAGGTTTCCAGGATCACTGGACAGTGTTGCTCCAGGAAGGCCAGGAACTGGGGCCCAGCCACCAGCTGAGGCCGCTGTAACCACACAAGACAGCCTGCTCACCAAACCAGCAAGGCCCCTGGTCCCAGAGGGTGCAGTGACTGGTGGGATCCTGGAGGATTCTGCTTTGTGGTTGTGTGTTGGGGAAGAGACCTAGTATGGCCCTGCCAGGAAAGGCCAACTTACCTCTGGTATTGCAGACCAGCCATAGCCATGAACCTTAGCCCTGCAGTGTCACCCCTCAAGAACCGACCCGAGCTGGAAGCTGCCTCCTAGGCCCCTGCTGGCTGTCTGTACCACATAGCCATTTGGGAGAAAGTGGGTAGTGAACCATATTGTCTAGTGGGGCTCCTGTCCAAGGGGTGGGAGCTGTTGGAGATGGAACTGAATGAATGCAGCACCATTCAAACTGCAGCCTCGGCCTTGCAGCTGGGTGGCACATGCTCTTCGCAACACTGGCTGTGACCACTCCAGCTCCTCCTGACTGAGCTCCCTGGGTCTGTGTGTCCCTCTTGTTCCCTAATGTGCTAGCAGCTCAAGGGCTTTTTATTGCAGGCACCTGCTGCTGTCCATGCACACATGGAGGAATTTTTTTTTTTTTTTTTTTTTTGCTGGTGTTAATGCCAACTGAGGGAAAGGTAATGGACTGGATTACAGAGACAGATGAGATCAGTGGGCACCAAGCTCTGACTTTACACTTTGCTCGCTTCCTCTAGACAAAGAGCAGATGAAAGAGGGGGCCTAGCCCGAGAGAAGGCGGTGAAGGACGATGGTGCCATATGGGGTCAGGGACTTCAGGCTGAGTCCTAGAACTTGCTTTTCTATAGCTAACCCCAAGGAAGTTCCACACAAGACTTCTCTTTGGCAGGCCCGGCACTCAAATGGGCCCTGGAAAATGACTACAGAGGACTGTCACTAAGAGCCTGGACTGTAAGCCTGCAAATAACTGCTGTTGTCACTGTGCTGCATGTGGGAACTGAGCTTAGGCTACCTTGTAGGATATAAATAAAGACATGAGGCAGTGGAGTGGAATGCTGCAAGTCACACAGCAAGCAAGAGGCAAAGTAAAATTCACAATACATAGCTGGCACTGTGGCACAGCAGTTATCCACCCTCTGCAGTGTCATGTCCCATTTGGACACTGGTTCGAGTGCTGATTGTTCTACTTCTGAGCCAGCTCCCAGCTAATGCACCTTGGAAAGCAATAGAAGATGGCCTAAGTGCTTGGGCCTTTGCACTCATGTGGGAGACCTGGGAGAAGTTCCTAGCTTCTGGCTTCAGGCTGGTACAGTTCGAGCCATTGCAGTCATTTGGGAAGTGAACCAGCAGATGAAAGGTTTTTCTCCCCCTTTATAACTCTTTCAAATTAAAAAAAAAAAAAAAAAAAAAGGTCCATCATCAGGAGTACTTGCTGGCCTTTGTGAAGGGCTCCCTCCATCCTAGGCTTCCTGCCAGGCATTGTCCATGACTGCCTTCTGATGTTCCTAATATTCTGAGATACTGTGACCACCACTTCCCATTCCCCCGAGCAAACAGGTTTGTGTGCTGAGTAGCTTGCTGGAGGTCATGAACTTGCCTCAGGTAGTTAGTGTAGAGCTGCAGGTGTAAACTTGGTCTGTCTGCCTCTAGCGCCAATGAGTTCACTCACTGCTACCTTTCTTCTCACATTTTAGTTGCTGTCACCTTATCACAGCCTCCTTCAAACAGCTCAGCAGAGAACAAGGCTGCTGTTCGGGTGCTTCAATTTAAAGAAATCATGTTTCTAGACTGACACCTGAGAGCTAACAAGTACATGTCCCAGTTGTCCTGGAGTAGTTGATAAGAGTCCATTCCCACACGAGATGGTCCACACTCAGGGCCTCACCAGTGTTTGCATGCCGTGGAAGGGCTTGGGGCCCTGACTGCTACTGTGACTATTCACAACCACAGAAGAACTCCAGTGACGGACAAAGCTGCAGAGACCACTTGCCCAAACTCATGTGGAAGGTGAGGCAGAGTCCAGTGAGGTCTCCACTTTACAACACATTAAGCGAGACTTTCTTGACATATGATGCAGGCTCATGCAGAAAGCTCTGGAATCCGGGCGAGGAAACAACACTAAGCCCTCCTAGAGTCCCCATGCAAGGACCAGCACCATCAGGATTATTGTTGAACAGAGCTGCCCAGATCTGAGTTGAATGAACACAAGAAAACCTGCCTTTTCCTCAATATCTTAATGAGATATTGCATCCAAGTTGTAAGGAAAATCAAGTTCATCACAACTTCTGCAGGTCCCCTGGTCACAGTAAGCCTGGGCCACCTAGAACCCTGGTTCAGTGAGTAAGGGGGGTTACCCAGCAATCCTGACAACTTGGGGGCCCACAGGGAAGCCAATGCCTACTAAGTGATGCGATGCGGGTGGTGGTGGCGGTTTGCCATGACCCTACAGGGTCGATTCCCTGCAGTGACAGAGAAACTTAGCTTCTCACAGGAAAGGAGAGTGAAGTGCACAACCTTCGGGACACCTCCAAACTGCCTCTCCCCCGCTGCCTTTCCACACTGTGGAGGGGGGCTGCACCCTTGTGCCCCTCCCCACCAAGACCCTGCTGCCCTGGGGAGCAGGCAGCATGCAGAAGTTGTAGGGAGGCAATGAGACGAGTGGGTATCGGGGAATAAATAGCCAAGTACCCCTGGGGCGGGACACTCACTCATGCCAACTGCCCCAAATGGCTCGAGCCGGGGTCTGGAAGATGCCCCATTGCATCAGAGTATGCCAACCCCGCTGGCCAGAAACCTGGACTCGCACCCACCTGCTGCACACATGCCCAGTAGTAGCCCAAGTAGAGGGCAACGCCAAGAGCCAAGAGTAGAACGAAAGTGTCTATCCAGGTGCCGCTGTTTAGGCTCAGGAGGGTGCTCAGCATCTTGGGGTTCCGGCTGCCCGGTGTGCGGCAGCTCCAGCCAGATGACTTTGACTACTGGGCCGGCAGGTGCGCAGAGGCCCCTCCCGTTACCGCCATTGGGTCTCCCGCAGGTCCCGCCTCCGCCGCCGGCGGTTGCGAGCCCCGCCCACCGCCCTTGCCTTGCCGCTGGGGCGACTGGAAGCGGCGCGGGGAGATCTAGGACCCCCGGAGATGTGGTCAGATCTGGGCCCGTAAGTGAGCCCCATGACCGGCAATGGCTTCCCACCGCTTCCCCGCGCCACCCCACTTTCCCTTTGGCAGTTACCAGCGCTGCAGCCCTGAACTGGTGGCCCTGCTGCCAAACCGCGGGGCGGAGCTTGCCCAGCGCCTCGTTCCACAAACTCTCCACCTGCCATGCCCTGGGCAAGTAGCCTGGTCAGAATCCTCTAGTCACTCAGGCCGTCACAGGTCCCAGCCACAACTGTGCTGAGTTTCTACTCTGGTCTATGCAATGGCCACTCACTGGGACCCTTACTGTCCAATGGTGTACCTCAAGCTGTCACACACACCCTGCATTCAGCTGCCTTGTAGGCAGCAACACCACCTCCCGCCACCACCACCCCTGTCCCCCCGGCCCCCGAGTTATCTAAGGCAGTTTCCTCAGTACGCACCCACTTGCCCCAGTGCTTGATAGAGACAACCCCTAGGGACCCTGTCTCTGCCTTCCCTGGGAAATGGAAACAGTGGTGTGAGAGCTGTCACACAGTGCCCAGGCCCACCTCCCTCTAGGGAGTCTAGCTGAGAGCCGTGATATCAATGTAATGAAGAAGGCTGTCAGGGATCCAAGGGTACCTTGGCCAGAACCCTTCCCTGGATGTGGCGGTAGACGAGGGATGAAGCAGCTGCTGGAGGAACCTCGCACAAATCCGGGTAGAGAAAGGGCAGAAGCACTGATGGGAATCTCCCAGGCCAGCAGCAGGCAGGAAGGCACGATAAGCAGAAGCCCACAGGTCCAAAAGAGGGGCGGAGGACATGTGGTGCAGCTGGATGCTGAACGGTCAGGGCCCGGTGGTACTGAGTTGGTCCCTAGGGCACAGGAAGGCCTCCAAGGGTTGGCTGCTGCAGGAATGGGGCTGTGAGGTAGTGTAGGAGAATCCTTCCGGCTGTGGACAGAATGGGCTTGGGAGGGTGGCAGATGGAAGCAGGGTGGTAGGCTAGGAAGCTGCTGGCAGACCCCGGGCAGGGCAGATGACCACCTAAATTGGAGGACAGCCCCACAAGGTGTGACGGTCTCCAAGGCAGGAGGCAGAACTCAGGGGACTTGGTACTATTGGTTGGAGGTTGGGGGAGGGTGTGGAAGAGCATGGAGGACTCCAGGTTTCTGATTACATAGATGTCCCAGGGAGAGGAGATCCGAGAATGGCGCCTTCAGAGAGATTCTGGGTTTTCCCAGCACCTGCAGTTATGTTTGGCACCTCCTTAGCACAGGGCCACATGAATGGCCAAAACTGTTTACCTCTGCCCACCACCCAGAGCTGAGACTCTGAGCCCATTCCCTGAACTCTCACTTGCCAAGCCCACATTCCTTTCCCTCCCTACACACACACACCTGCCCCCGACAATCCACCTAGGGCCAGGTAGGTACAGGCAACCAGGGACAGCACACCTAAGTCTAACCCAGCAGTCCAAGTAATCAGATCTAAACTTTCCCTGCCCTGCCTTGCTTTAACTGAGAGATCTCTGGTTCTGCCTACTGCACCCTCCAGCCTCTCTCCTCCTCCTGCTCCTTCTTCTCTCTCTCTCTCTCACACACACATACACCTTACCCCAGCCCCACCAACTGCCTCTGTCCTCTGACACTCACACACATGTCTTCCCATACAGTGCACACCAGCTGGCGACACGTGCTCCAGCCATGCAGAAGCCAGGGCAAGGCTGAAGCAGTGATGCAGGAGTGTGGTGTGCCCTTGAAGCTGAGCCTCAGGCCAACACAGCAGTGGTGCTCACCCAGAGGCCAGGGGAGTCATTGGACAAGTCCTCACAGCTCCCCCAGGTGACCATGGTGGAGATCAGAGTCAAGTTCCTGCACATCCTTCGTGGCTTGACGTGAACCGCTGTCCACCCAGAAGATGTTATCTCCAGGGGATGGGGTCCAGGTCCTTTGGCCCCAGGATTGGATAATGGTTTTCATGAGTAGCTGTCAAGTGCATTCTCCCCCAGGTTAATGGGCACTGAGACCCAACTTTCCACTTATTCTGCCCGCTTCTTCTGGGCTGACAGCAGGAAAAGGATGAAAGAAGAGGATACCATATGAGACTGGAGACCTCCAGCGGAGCCCTAGAACTTACCTTTCCGTAGGTGGCGATGCCTGACTCCTGTCTCTTCTGCAGCTCCTATTCTTACATGGGCCCTGGGCAACATGCTCCTCTAGGGATGCCAAGTGGACAGTGTGGCTGTCAGGGAGGTCACTTAGAGACCAAGAGCTCCCAAGGCCCAACTGCCCTGGGGGAAGCAGGCAGGATGTAGAGGCTGTAGGGAGGCGGTGAAGGGAGTGGGCGATTAGGTGCTAATAGCCAAGTGCCCCTGGAGCAGGGAACTCACTGGAGCAGGGCTTGGAAGGTGCTTCCTGCACCCAAACCTAGCAGAGCCTTCACCTGCATCCACCTGCAGCACAGAGCACCAGTATTAGCCTAAGGAGCGGGCAGAGCCAAGGGCAGATTGGGCTCCATCCAAGTGTGCTGGAGGTCCAGAAAGGAGATCCCAGCTGCCAGGCTCTGGGCAGGCTGCAGTCACCTGGGAACCCTGACCCCTAGGCCCACAGGCCTGCGCACTTCAGCAGTTTCTGGCCTGGGGAACTGCCCACCTCTGCTGCCTCTGTAGCCCTGGGGGTTGTAGAAGCAGTGGCCTGCTGGGACGGGATGTCTTGGCAGAGCTATTCATGCTGCTCCTCGCCCACTGCCTCCCCTCCGTGATTAAAAGCCAAGGAGCCTGATAGCTTTTTTGTCACAAACCCAAAACACCAGTCACAGTAAGTGAGCCACACAAGAGATCTTTATTTAGGCAGGGGAGGTAGCTGTGAGGCAGGGAGAAAGCTGGAGCAGAGAGAGACACACACACAGAGAGAAGAGCAGAGGAAAGAGAGCAGAGAGAAGAGGAGAGAAAGAGAGGAGCAGAGCATAGCACAGCAGAGGATGAGGAGAGCAGAGAGAGACAGAAAGCACGAGAAGAGAGTCTGACAGGCTGCTCCCTAACGGGAGATAGCCTGGAACCACTTCCACATGGCAGGGTGACCCATATGAGGGAAATGGCTGCCCAGGGTACACAGCAGTGGCTTTTATGCAATTTAGGTGTGGAGGATGAGGGAGGCAGCAGCTCCTCAGTTTGCGCATGCTTGTGGCAATGACATGTCACCATGGTGGGTGTTGATCTTCTGCACTGACTCAGCCTTGGAAACAATTCTGCATGAGAGTGTCTGCTTGACCTCAGCGAAGATGGCATGCAGGCTAGCGAAGCTCTCCTCTGTTGTTTGCGGCCAGAGGGAGGCAGGAAGGAGCGACAGCACCAGGATTCAGGGGGCTGCTTGGTGGTCCAGGGTTACCAGGTGTTCCTGGCTCGTGATAAGTTTCCTTGTGCTTTGGTGCAGTGAGCTCCTTCAGGAATCATCTTTTCAGCCTAACATTCCTGCCTTTTGTTGTATGGTATTGGTCAGAGGGGAACTGTCATGAGAAGGGTTAGGCTAGAACGTTAATGAGTAGAGGTTTGTATTGGCCCAGGAAGAGTTGGTGAAAAGATTTTCTAGTGAGGCCTTGAGAAACAGGATATAAGCAGAAGAAACAAAATAGTACGTGTGGTTATGGCCAAGAAAAATGCTCGTGCTCATATTGTGTGTACATTCTAGTAAGGGATGAAGACAGTCTGGCCTCCCTCTAGTCCTGTGCGCCCTCAATCCCTCCCTCCACTTATGGCGAAGCAGGGGCCTGCAGTAAGCCAGGGCTCCAGTAGAAGGTGGCCTTGAGGGCTACAGTGACAGCTAGCAGAAACTGCTTTTGAGGTTTTACATGTATGGGTACTCGAGCTTTAGGTCTGGAGGAGACCTATCTAACACAGCTTAAATACACGAGGTCCCAGAGGACAGAGGCAATAGGCTACCCAGGAAAGCTCTGCTGCTGCCGAAATCCAGAAGTTTCTATGGAGAAGTGAACAGAAGTTGACAGGAGGGATGTGATAATTAGATGGGTGTTAAGACCTGGCCAGGTGTATGTATGGCCCAGGACCTTTTATCTCTTTATGTGGAGGTACTAGAAGAGACATCGTAAAAGAGATGGCCTAAATAGGAGGCTAGTACAGAGCAGATGGTGTTTCTAGATGGAAACACACAGCTTCACCTGTGAGATTGTTGACCCTAGGCCATCCCCTTTATGGTTGCTTTGGAAGCTGGGCAGAGTGAAGGGATCTCTAGCTTGTGGCCTACCATGGTCCCAACCTAGGAGTCCTCTGACCCCCAGAGCAGTTCCATTTCTGGTGACCTGGCTCTTGGCAGAGCTGACAGGGTTCTTTGAAAGCTGCTTCTATCATGGGCAGATGTTTGCCTCATCTTCCGGCTTCCCACATTACAACCAGGTGCTACCTGAGGGTGAACTGGCCTTGTTGGGTCTCCTTGAGAGCAAGTTACTGCATAAAGCCACATGAATGGGTCTCCTGCTGCCTAGTTCACCCCTCTTCCTCTGGGCAGCTGGTAAAGCAGACCACAGAAGCAGCCTTTGGGATGTTAGTCAAAGGGATGTTTTATTTTATCTTTAAATCCTTAATGGACTGAGTTAGCAATTTGTAGTCACAGGTACATTCTGAGAGGTTTTTTTACAGTAAGATAAGGTGATGGCCATGAAAAGATGGTTAGGCTCCTTAGTCTTATAAGTTAGTCGTTTCCTTTATAAGGTCTGGAGATTAAACTGTACAGCCTGAGAGTCTTAGAATTGTAGAAAGAAAGTCAAGGAGACACGAAGAAAGGAGTCAGGGTCAGT